TCAGCCTGATTTCTTCTGCAGATAGAGGTTTCAAAATGACTGTGTGTGCTTCCTGCTTTGCCAGCCTGCATGGAGTCTCAGAGCTTTAGAACTGGAAAGATGTTTGATTCTTAACCTGGGGTTCATAGAGTCTTCCCTCGGTGACCGTGCATGAGTTTCTAGATTCCACGAGCCCTTTTAAAGAGTACCCCAAAATTGAAGCTTCCCTGCCTCCCACCCCTGAAAGTTGCCTAGCTTTCAGCAGAGTCTGATGAGTGGTTAGTTTTAATTCAAGAAATTTAAGAGCCACTGATTTGATCCAACCTCTAAACCCCTCATAACAGGCAGAAAAACTGAAACAACAAATTAGGATAAAAAGCAGTTTTAGAAATTTTGGAATGTCAGTATGCTTTACAGAACTGACCTGGTTTTCTGCCACTGCAGACTGAGCTAATGGTCCAGTAAAATTGGTTGAATGAAAGAGAGCCACTAGGGAGCTTTTGGTGTCGGGATAGAAAACCATATAGCAGAGAGAAGTCTGGTTGAAATCCCTAAGAAGGCAACATAATTTAGGCACAGACTGTGCAGTCGCTAGAAGCCAGCACATGTCAGAGACCAGGTAAATTCTTTTGCATGGTTTATATCTGAGCTCTGAAAAAGAAAATATTCAGAAATATCTACGTCAACAAATTTCATCCCTCTACCTACTTTCTTCCCTTCCTTTTGCCTAAAATCCCATGTACCTCTCTCCTCTGACATTTTTCTACATGTCACATTTTTACCCAGAACATGTTAGGTGCTTTCTTCTTATCACAGAACAAAGTCCAGACTCTAATCTGGCATTTATATATAAATGATGAATAACACTTTTCCCCATCTGGGACAGGAGAATAATAATAATGCCAATTTCATAGATGTGTTGAGAAGATTAAGGAAATGTAAGGGGTTGTTAAACTTTCCCACAAATTTCCAGCGTGAGTCCTCTGCCCTGGTCAGGTTGGTTGCCTACTGTTCACCAAGCAAGTCTTCCTAATTTTCGTGGCTACACCTTTGTTTCTCCTGGGGCTCCAGCCTTGCAAATGCCTCTCACCTTTTGTTTTCTTTAGTCCCTGCCGGGCTATAAATGTTTGTTCCTTCCTCTTAATCCTGAAAGCATTTCTTGTTTGTTCTATGCAGACTCTCAGAGTAGGTTACGTGGTCCAATTCCCTACCCAAGTGGGGGAAGCAATCTGCAACTGCCTTCTTGGTGGCTATTTTGCTTCAAGTTGAATACTTTCAGTGTCGATGAGCTAAATTTGGGCCGCTCATCTTCATTTTTTCAACAGCTCTAATTAAATAACTACAACATGTAATTATATTCTTAGTCATGACAGACTTGCCTTTTTAATGAAATTTTCAGTTCTTCCAGAGGAACAATATAGCTGCTCAAAAGGCACTGATTGTATTTATGCCTAAAATTACAATTTCACGACATTAGTAGTTGAACCATTGCTACCACTTCTATTATCTTTTCTTCCATGTTGCCTTCCTTGGAGGAGGCAACTTGCCATTACAGAGCACGCGATTATCACGACGATGCCTAGAACGGCTCTGTGAACAGAAAGAAGGCAAAGAAAACCCTCCTGGTTGATGTCTGTTGATGCTTAAACTAACTCTTCTTTGGCCACTTTAAATTACTTTTAAGCAGTATTTTAATCTTTGGGAAAAAAAGTTCTGCTGTGAAATTTTTACTGTTTTTTTCCCCCTTTTGATATATTTTTTCAGTCTTTTTACTATTCATATACAAATTTATCCATTTATCTGTATACCTGGTTTAGTTTTTGTAAAAATGGGTGTTAGATCATATATGCTGCTCTTAAAGACTTAGTAATACACCAGTGACATATTCTCATGTTAATATGCAAAGGTTTAATTATTTCTAATGGCTTCATGGTATGGCATAATTGATGTATATTTTTTTCTCTTATTGATCAGCACATATGTTTTTTTTCCATTGATTCTTGAATTCTGATTTCTCTACCTGAGAATGCATTAAAAAGATAAATTTGATCATAATTCTACTCACAAATTCATCCAGTCTTAAGGGTTGAATTACATCTCCCCCACTCCCCACAATTCCTGTGTTGAAATCCTAGCCCCTTGTACTTCATAATGTAACCTTATTTGGATAATAAAGGCACTGCAAGTGTAATGAGTTAAGATAGGATCATACAGGACTAGGGTGGGCCCCATACTGGTATCTTTATAAAAAGGGGAAGTCTGGATACAGACAGCACACAGGGAGAACATCATGTGAAGATGAAGGCAGAGGTCAGAGTGATGCTTCTGTAAGTCGAGGAATGCTGAAGATGGCCAGAAAATCTGCAGGAGCTAAGAGAGAGACATGGAACACAGTCTCACAGCCCTCAGAAGGAACTGACCTTGCCAACACCTTGATCTTGGACTTCCGGCCTCTAAAACTGTGAGACAATAGATTTCTGTTGTTTAAGTAAACCAGTCTGTGGTATTTTTAAAAGACAGCCCTAGAAAACTAAACTTTGGCAAGAAACCAAATGTAGCAGTGCTTCCTCCTGGTTAGAACTTCCAGGCAGCCCCGGATGCAGGGACTGCATCTTTGGCGTGGACAGCAGCTTTGAGAATGAGGCTTGCCACCAGCATCTTTGTCTTTCCCATCCTTTCCCATTGGCTCGGCCTACCCAATATCACAACTATCAACAACAAAACCTGAAAACAAAACTAAAACAGTAACAAACTAAGCAAACAACTAGAACAGGAACAGAATCACAGAAATGGAGATCACATGGAAGATTATCAGCAGGGAAGGGGAGAAGGGGAATGTGGGAAAAGGTACAGGGAATAAGTAGCATGAATGGTAGGTAGAAAATAGACAGGGGAAGGTTAAGAATAGTATAGGAAATGATGAGGCCAAAGAACTCATACATATGACCTATGGACATGAACTAAGGGTGGGTGGGGGGAATGCATGTGGGAGAGGGTATGCAGGGTGGAGGGGAATAAAGGGGGAAAATGGGCAACTGTAATATCATAATCAATAAATATATTAAAAAAAGAAAATGGAATGACTGGCATAGTTTTCTGCAAGCACCTTGTTTATGTTAGTAATATGTACCTTTATGTTACACATATAATATTTAATCATGTGTAGAAATGGGTTTTTAGTGCTTGAGACAAAGAATACTGGGGGGCAACAGTTCATGATTCTGAGTGAAGGAAGGCCTTTCTGGGATGTCATAGTGTGTGTCCTGATGATCGGTTGTAAGATAATGACTGTAGCACAGACCAAGGCTTCTGGAAGACGACTTGTACTACAAGAAAGTAATGTGCTGAATGTTTGGGAAGAGGCTAAGTTAACAACCAGACTTTGGGAAGGGTGAAAAAGAAAGAATTACTGAGAACGTGTTACTGATAAGGGTGTGATAACCCGGGCCTTTATATGGCAAGCCATGTTCTGGCTTCTAATCAAATAGGGACATATAAACAAACACATTAGTTCAGAGAACTTAGTTGTCATCTACCTCTATTATATCTCCTTCAGGGAAGTGCTGCTTTGGTCTAAATCTGAGATTTTGGCAGCAAATGATGGCCGATTTGATTTTCCAAGAAATCTGAGGGCACCTGGTTGAATATGGCATGGAACACATAAATGTGCGTATTTATCGAAGGACACAAGTTGCCTGCAGAAAACTCTGCCAGCCATTCCATTTTCAAAATATTGACTAGACCAAGCCATCGGGAAAGATAAAGACAAAGGTGCTAGTGGGAGCAGAGCCTCATTCTCAAAACCGGGGTCCGTGCTGGAGATGCAGTCCCTACAGCTGGGACTGCCTGCAAGTTCCAACCAGGAGGAAGCGCTGCTACATGTGGGTGCTCATCAAATTAATGATCCTCTTACCTGGAGGGTCCTTCTCCTGCCTGGTTAGTTAAACCTCCCTGCCCTCTCAGGTACATGCAGTATAGCCTCCTCCACAGAGACTTCCTTGCCCTGAGACATAGCATTGTCACTCCTCTGAACCTCTAGACTCTCATTTGTCATATTCTATTCCTTAGACAATTAGGTAATAATTACAAGACAGTATATAATTACATTTCATTACAGCTAGATTTAAAACTCCACATGGCAGGGACTTGGCCACTTTATTTACCTTGACACACCACTGGAACATAGTAGGTACTCAAAAAGGTTTTTTTGAACAAAGAATGGTATGTATATATGTTCTGCATTTTTCTTTCCACTGTTATTTGAAATTAAAATATTTGTGTGCTCCAGGACTATTGCACATTCTTTTTGGCATGAGCTGCAACCAAAGTTACTTCATGGGGGTGGTGGGATTCCTTTCTCCCACCCCTCTGTTCTTTCAAGGCCAATCCAATGAAAGATCCTAATACGCTTGAAGGTGCCTTGTGAAAGCATGCCAGTTACACCTTTAGTGTGCAGACGGGTTCCTTGTGTCTCTCTCATCCAGGCAAATTGCTACCCTTAAGCTTTTGTTCCTCAGAAATTTGAGAGCTGCCACTGCCTTTCGTATCTTTTAATATAGTGCTCTAATACTCCGATGCGTATAAGGCTTTCCAGGTAATGCTAATGAGTGAAGGGGACAGCGTGGAAGAGACAGAGGGAGTGGTGGGGACCATGGTGTATCAGAGAGCACATGCTCCTTATAAAAAGGCAGCCAAGATACCGTGATCAAGGTGGTTTTTGTCATGCGCGACTGTGGTCATGTGTTATTAGATCATCAGATTTTTCAAGACAAGACAGAAATATGGAATTAGATGGGAAATGTATCCATTTTTAAATCTTTCAAATTTTTAAATCCCGTGCTAGACTCTTCTCTGCTGGTGAGGTGTGACCCATAGGCCACCAGTGTGCAACCTGTTTCCGGGCCCTAAGCGATTACCCCTGTGCACCCCAACAGTTCTTGGCATGAGGATGGGAGAGATGAGATGGCGGCAAATAAATGCACAAGGAAGTCCAAGTCATATTTCGAACTACTGAAGTTTCTCTTTTTTTTATTGCAAAACGTGTGTTACAGAAATTTCAGAAAGTTTTTCCTGTGGTATCTGCCAACTTCTGCTTGGAATTATATATCTAAACAAACAAGCTCAAAGTGCATTGTGAATCCACTAACAGACCTTTAAAAAAAGAACAATTCCTCTAAGAATTGATATATATTTATAATGTCGATAGATATGCAAACCACTGCTTATCCATACATAAAGAAGGAAAGATGTATATATATTTAACAAACCCAACTTCAAAATTGTTTTATTTATAGGAATTCATTTAAAAATGATATTTTAATAATTTCCCCATTACAAACTATGGTTAGAACATTTACAAATGAGAGTCTAAGTTCTATGTTATGAAACAGCAATGAGTACAGTTACTGCATGTACTGTTTTGAACAGCAGCAGCAGCGGTGATATAAACTCAGGTTAGACGCTGTTGTGACAGGATGCAGATAAGCCTGACACGATGCTATGGTACTCCTCTTCTGAATCTCCCTCACAAAGATCCTGCATTTGGGTTCACAATGATGTGGCATATATCATTCAGGAGGACCATATGCCCCTGAATAGGGCGAGTTCCTTTCCCCCACCTCAATTCTCAGTGTGTTTTGTATATACACTCTGAGTTGGAATCGAGACTGTGATTCTGGTTGGCTCTAAATCAGAGGTCCCAAGCTATTGCCTTGGGGACTGAATGTTGCTGGCAGGTACATTTGTTTGGTTGACACGGTGTTTACAAACGTGAATGTGAACGTCTTTGTAGTGGGACATGTGTTCTCTCATGCCCCACAAATCCCACTTCTTCCTGTTGTCCTTCACCAGTCCCACACTTGTGTTCCGCATCCAGCCCCTCCACCTATTGGACTCTGCAAGCCCACAGTCTAGATGCAGATGGCTGGTTCTGATGACACATGGGAAGCTGCAGTGGAGGTGCGAAAGACCCTTTTGGGATTCAGACAGGCAAAGAATTGGTTGCGGCTGATGCAAACACCAGCCAAGTTGGTCTTGTGGGGTAGCACTGAGGGAGGAGGCTAAGTTAGTGGGAAGATTAGGACTGGAACATAGTCTGGATGTTGGGCTGTTTCTACTAAGTAGCCACTACTTCAGTTTACTGTGCCAGAGTCCATAGGATATTGAGGTAATGGGACCCAGGGTCTTTCGGTCTAGCCAAAAAAGCATTTTGTGCTGTGCTATGGGAAAGGAAGAAAGTCAAGGGGGTGGAGGAGATTGCACTCCAGGCACAAGGCTGAACTTCCACTCCCACAGTTCTCGGCAGCCTGCCTCTGCCAGAGCAAGGCCTGGGTCAAGTTTGGTGATGACATTTCAGAAAGCCTATGGATATGTCCCTTTCTAAACATTGTGCAAATAGGCAGTGGTCCGAAGGTAAGGTAGGGAAGGGGGAAGTTCACTTCACTCTTATTGCCACATAGATTACTCGGCCAATGAAATCCTTAGACAACATGTATGACAGAAATTGTCATGTCTTGATTTCATTTGCAGTGATCAGTGCAAGGGATTCATCAGGTAAAAGTTAACACAACTACCTTCTCAAGTAAAAATTTTTAAAAAGGAAAAGAAATAAAAAAATCTTGTTTTCTTTATATCAGAACCAATCCCTCCTTTGGTCGACTCTAATCTGAGAGAGAGAGAGAGAGAGAGAGAGAGAGAGAGAGAGAGAGAGAGAGAGAGAGAGAGACTGAGATGTAAAAAGAAGAGAAAACTTGGGCCAGCATAGGTTGAGAGAAAAGTTTTTGCTATTCCTTTGAGGAGCGGTCCTTTATAAGACTGTACAGATTGGTGCCTCTCTTTTCCAAGTGTTGAATGGCTTCTGATAATGAAATTATGATTTCTTTAAAGGGCAAGCTCTTCAGAGACACCCAGTGCTCCAGCAGACTCCCAGTCACCCACCTCTCACCTGCCCCCAGGGCAGGCTCACCACCAGAAAAAAGCTACCAGGTAGCAGGGAAGTCATATGCTATATCACTTGACTGCTCATTCATAATGATCTGTGGACTTCTGCACTCTAATCAATGGACTTCTCACTCTCACCTCTGGTTTAGTAATTTGTGCCCAGTGGCCCTAAAGAATCAGAAATATGTCTTTCATATATCACAGATGCACCAACGCCTAGACCTTGGGAAACCCAAGTGCTGTTGGCTAGCCATCTCCAGGTCCCAAGCTATACACCTTATTGTTAATACTTTATTTCATACTATTTGTTCAGAGCTTTAAAAAAAATTAAAAAAAAACCCTTGGTTATTTTTTGTTTGTTTTTAATTTTTACAACTTGAACATAATCCCCAAACAATGTAAGAAGCCCAAGAATTTGAGTGCGTCCCTAACTGGTTTCAGTATCACAGCAGGCAAGAGTAAAATGTTAAGTGCCTTTAAAAAGTCAAAAGAAATGCATAAAGCAGTGCATGCATTATGTTGCCACAAAATTAAGACTGGGTTTGGAGCAGGATTACTTCATTTAGGTCACATTGCTATTGTTCAAGAAGAGTGGGTTATAATGCAATATCTAGAACAAGTATATTACTACTTACACATCAGCATCACTTTATCTAGAAACAGAGTAGTGTTACTAAATGAGCATATTTATAAAATACTGTACACTGCTTCCATACTGGGTCAGCAGATGTAAACAAACAGCTAATTAAACTGGAGTTTAAAATATTATTTTAAGTTCATTTGTCAGATAGTCATTTGCATAACATGCCAGTTTGTCTTTCACAAAATCACAATTGCCTCCTGCGACTCACAGGGGTGGTTAGAGGCTGTACATCAGCTTATACACATATTTTACAGTGGTCTACAGGAAAGTAGAAAACATGAAGCAGGTCCGGGACAAAAGTGCCCATTTCACGAGGATGCTAAATAACATGGAGTTGGGGACATAATTCATCCTTGCAACATGTGCTTCTTTATTGAATGTTACAGATTTATAAATGATTATAAAGCTGTCCTGTAACGTTCATTAATACAACCACATGCTACAGCTATGCTGAGTTAAACACAGGTTACATATCTGTTTACATGTATTTTATTATACAGCATTGCCCAACACATTGAATGTAATAGCCTACAGATATAGCATGATGGATGACTGGATAATATTTATTGTCATTAAAGAAGTCAAACAGCCCAAACATTCAGGAAGATTAGACTGTACAGCCTCAGAAAGTAGAATAAATGGACTATCCAGTTATCTACCATAATGTTATCTATAGAAACCACCTTTTAGAATACATTTGAGACATTCAGAAGAAAACACATTTTGTGTTTTTACAAGTACATTTTCCCCATTTGATTATTCATATATATATATATATATATATATATATATATATATATATATGTATTTTCAAGAGGGAACTCTCAAAGTGCTAAATAATATGTTAGACCTAGAAGCCTAGATTTTAAAAAAATCCAGTTCTGTAAAGTGCTGCATTCTGACGGCTAACACACTGTCTGGTTTGGAGAAACACACAAACTAGCCGTGACGATTATCGCCAAGCTTTCTAGCTCCTCATTCAAATCCATTAAGGAGGGCATTGCTCACAACAAATATAAGGTATGTTGGTTTATCAGGAAATTTCCATGGTCATTTTCATAAAACATCCTTAATTTTTTTCAAAAGGACCAAGCAATTTAGAACAAATCATCACATATAGTAGTATATAAAAATTGGCACCTTTAGAAGATAATTAAACCAAAGCTATTACTTCCTTGAGTTCTCTATGACTTTATTTATGTTCCCCAATAGCTTGCTGCTCATGAGCTGCTTAATTCACAGAGACAGATAATTAACGTCCCCTTAGTCAGGGATGTGGTGGAATAAATGAGCTGCACACAAGCTGACTGTACGAGGCCACAGAATCGATGCCACATCAGTGGGCAGAGGATCCAGAAACAGAAAGAAATGGATTGAAACATAACACACGTGTATGCACACAGGAAAGAAATGGCTCATAAAAGCTACACAGTTTGTGTTTAAAGTCATTTAAATTTAGCTTATGCATTTCACACACATCACAAAAGATGTAAGAACTTTATTTTCATGCACAACAACAACAAAAAAACCAGGTAGTCACAAGGCCAGGACTGTTAAGTACTTTGTTTCCCAGGTCCTGCTCTGTCCTCTCCAGAAATCGCAATGAATGGAAACTCCTAAACTCCTAATTTCTTTCCCCCACTTTCAATCTGGTCCAGAATAAGAGCCGGGAGGTGCTGTGATGTCCTGCTCTGTGGTCAAAGAGTAATGGTTTCACCTCCTTCTTGGAGTCCTCTACAGACCCTCTCAGAAAGCCTTCTGGCTCTGTGAGAGTGCACGCCACACTTAAAACCATCAATATGTTAGGATGTAGTAAACACATCAGACTAGCAAAATCTAATCTAGGAACAAAAATTACAAAATCTTGGTTCTGACTCTGGTGTTGAGACTTGGCCTTCCTGAGAATCACAGAGAATTGGTCTCAAAATGTAAAGTGCCTATTATTACAACTGTATTGATTATGAACAAACATGGTTCCTCTTCTTCATAATCAATCAGTATGGAACCAGGGGTACAGGAACCTTATAAAGTTATATTGCAACTTTCCATATGTATACACTTTTTTTTTCCCCTTGGGGAGAGGGCCCAGAGCTTTCATCAGATCCTAAAAGATTCAGGACTCTAGGAAGTTTAAGGGTAACTGACTTATTCTCAGACCAAAAGCATGTTTGCTTCTTTCTGATTCACTTAGATACTAAGGAATGAAAAAGAAATTCCTTAATTTTTTATATGTGGCCTCATCACCATTTCTGCATTCTACACCTAGAAAGTTTATTCTGAGGTTTTTTTTTTGTTTGTTTGTTTGTTTACATTTAAAAGCTAGAGGTTTTATCCATGTATTTACTTGATGCCACATAATGAGAAAATTTGGAGTTCCCAGTGACAACTAAAGAAAAGAACCAGTTTTTGTTTGGGGCTAGGAACATTAAGTCATTTTCCTTTAAGATTTTATTTATTTACTTTTTAAAATCAGTGAGCTAAATAGAAATCAAAAGAATTGAGGATCAAAATTTCTTTATCCCATTTCAAATCCAGATTCTGATGTAGAAGCAGGTATACCTGTATTCTAGAATCCATACTACTGTCTGGTTTTGGATTATGTCTATTCCAATAGTACTTGGTGTAAGCACTTTGTGCAGGAGAAATGAGAGGTCAAGATAGTGGCTGCTTTTGGACAAAAAAAAGGTGGGGGGCAGTACGTAGGTGGCAATTCATTTTAACAACTCTAGTTTGGTACATGAAAAAGTTAAGGGGAAAGGGAGTTAAAAAATCATAAGTTCAATATCTGATGAAATACAATGAATTCTTTCAATGAAATTTCTTGGATATTAAAAATTGTGGTTGTACCTCAAGGTGATAGAAAAGTCCAGGCCTCTTAAGAAAACTCTATATGCCTGTTTATATACTATATATAACATGTCTCTGTGTAAATGCATATATATGTATATAAGCAGCACACACTATAGAACTCTTTACATGGTTTATTTTCTTCCTACTTTAGTCTACTGTATCTTTTTAATAGCTCTGTGTACAGGAAAAATACTCATGACATGCCTGCAACAAGGGCTTTGGGTTGACACCAAACTCTCAGTCGATGCTAAGGTTATTTATGGTTTTGAAACTTCCTTAAAAAGTACTTTGGAACATTTCCATAAAAAAGATACCAGCCCTTGAAAAACTCCAATTAAATTTATGCTGAGCTCAGATTAAATGGCAAAACTCTAGGTATGAAAATATCCACCAGATATCCACATATAAAATGGCCCTGCGGTGAGTGGTGTGAAAAATCGGCAGTTACGTCTTGGAGATGTTCAGAAGACAAGGTGAGGTCATGCACATGAGGAAGGTCGCACAGCAGCATCACACACGACATGACTGGTGAGATGTCCCATATGGCAATTTTGGGGAGTTCTGCCCGCTCTCTTTTTTTATTAGTTCACGATTACATACTCAGTGAGCGAATTCATTGATGACAGGTGAAATACAAAATAAATTAAAAATATAGAATTATTTAGTTACATTCATCCTGAGCTTGCTCAACTATACTTGGATGCCCACTGTATATAATAGGCCACGTGACATTTGCTTTTAACATCAATTCTTTCATTTCACTTGCAATATACAAAAAGGCATTTCTTTTCCCTTATTTTCTTCAAAAAAGATTAACAGTTGTGGCACCAGAAGTGAATATATGAGACAGGTGAACTATGACTGTTACCTGGTTCTTTCTTTATACTGATCAATTACAGAAGTGTTGGCATGAGAAGGATGTGGGACGTTAGGTAGAACTGCTTGCTGCCGGCTTATACTGAATAAAAAGGATGCTCTTCATCAGTCACCAGTGATGGAGCCAATGTGAAAAGAAAACAGAATTGAAGTTTAGAATATCTCATTTGTATGCTGGCTACTTTATTTTATTTTATTTTGCAAGTTATCCCTGCTTCCTAAAACTCGTGTTAATGGTCAGAAATCGAAAGACTCCTCCTGGCGTTGAGAATGCATAAAGCCCTTTCATTCCCAGAGCTCAACGCTTTCTGAAGTGACTAGTGACACACACTCATCTCAACCCTTCTTCTCCCTCACTTACCCCTCCCTACCCATCAAGCGTGAGCATGACTTACATCCCCTGTGTTTGGCACTGGGCCAGATCAAATGCTTTCTTGATCTGTGGCCCAGAAGTCAACTTAGAGTGAACACCTCCCAAGGCATTGCTTTCTTTGCTCAGCTAAAAATAAAGCAGGTACGCTTCAAGGAATGGGAACAGGTGGAGTTTGGGGAGAATTTTAGGGCTGGATTCTGAGCCTCCTGCAATGCTTATTAGGAAGGTTTAGTTGTGCTTGCTTTCAAAGCTGTGGAAAGCTGAGGTTCTAGACAGTCTCCTCATGGACAGGCTGTCCCCTCGGCCCTCTGGCTTGGAGGACTTACTCCTCTGGAAGGGATTTCGCAGGCTTGCTGTGTTCCGCTGCCTGTCGAGTTTGTCACTGATGGAAAAGCTCTTCCTGGTGTGTGCATATGGCACACTTGGCTCCTCTGCTGAGTAGCTGTTGGCGCGCTCTATCTTGGGGATCGTGATGTTATTGGAAAGGGTTCTGTCTGAGTTATCGCCCTCCTGGGAGGGTATCGCGAGGGCGGCTCTCCGGCCTTTGGCCTCATTCTCCTCAGTGTCAGAGCTGGGGTGACTCAGTTCTGCTTCTCGCTCGGGATGGCAGCAAGATGCGTCCTCCACTTTGCCTCCAAGGCCTCCAGGGAAGGTGGCTCTGTCAGCAATTGCTTGGGGGGCATTGACACACCTTGTGTCAATACAGTCTGTAATACTTGTGTATTCTGCTGTTTTCACGGGCACCCCAAAATTGGCATAGTAGCTCCTCGAAGGAGAAAACATAAAGCTATGAGATTTCACAATTGGGGCCTCTTCTAGGAGAAAGGGCGTGGTGGCTAGGTAGCGGCTACTTTTGGAACGCTCAATGGTGTGGTACGTTGGAGGGTCAGTGTCCCATGGGTTTTGGCACTCTGGGAGGTGGGTGTAGTCTGAAGAGAAAGATCTAGTGTCCATGGAGGTGATGTCCTCGAAATCAATGCTCCGGCTTGGAGGTCTGTCCGTGGGTGCGAGAGTTGCATAGGCACTACTCGAAGGAGCTGTGGAAGGTACTTGAGCCAAAAAGCTTGGTTCGCCCAGCCCAAGGATGTTCACGGAATTGTCCAGAGGCTCTATATCACAGTGGAGCTCATCCATGGCAGAGACATAGATGTCTATACATGACGATGGTCTTCTAGAATCAGGAACAATGGCCAACGTGTTGGTAGGAGCTGCAGGAGCTTTGGATTCCTTTGCTATAGAGTGGGAACTAGTAGCCCGGTGTAGGCTCAGGGACCTTTCTTTAAAAAGACTTTCCAACTTTTCTATACCACCTTTGTCTTTCATATTGACCGAATAGAAAGAATGGCTTCGCATACGGGGCACTAGGGTTGGAGAAGTTGGGGACATGGTCTCCTCACCTGCAGGGTCTATACTCTCTTGGAGCTTGAAGGTGTTCCCCTCCTGGCTGTTGAAGCTGCTCTGGCGGACGATGTAGGCTGCATCTGTGCAGTCCGAGGAGGTCCGAGAGCGGATTTTGTTGGACTCGGCCCGCTCCAGACCTGTCAGACGCTCCAGGGCAGTGGCCATGCGCCCAATGAGGTCCTCGAGCTGTGCCAGCCTGATATCCACAGTCTGGAGTGAAGCCTTCATGCAGTGCTCTCTCTCATTAACTTCTTCCAGTCGCATGGACATGTTCTCTACCCTGGTGAAGAAGAGAGAATGAGAGTCACCAGGGGCAGGCTGCTCTGCTGGAGATTTACAGAGCTTGGACAGGGAGGCCAAAACTGTGCCTGGACCTCTGTCATCAGTGTCCTACCAGAGGGAAACTGAGAGGTTGCTGGTTTTGAGGAGGAGGTAGGGAAGAGAGAAGGGCAGTGATGTTTTCACTGAGAATGATAGAATCCAAATCTTTTTGAGCTGGAAGAGGCTTTAGAGATGATCTAATCCAGTGATTTTTAATGGCTAATCCCCTTTTCCCTCAATGAACTTTAATGCACGATCTTGATAAATAAACACCAAAGTTGAATAGCTCTTGTTGAAGTGGAGTCCCACCCTTTCCCACTCATGTGGCTTAGCTGTGGCTTGGGGAAGAGTTCAGTGACCTAAATAAGTATTAGGGTTGTTGGCTTATCAGAGTCAGAACAAAATGAGAATGTTGCATATCGATGACTTCTTTTTTCGAAAGAATTTTAGAATGTAGCTATTTTCATTGCAGTTTGTATGGACTGGGGTTATTCTATTTTGTATTTATATAATAAAATTTTTGTTGTTATTCACAATAATCTTTTTAAAGAATTTAGTGCCTCCAAAGGAATTAATATGGTCTTGTTACTGAGGCACCTGGAATTAATTTAATCTAATTCAATCCTGTCAGTAATAAAAGAAAAACAACCATCTAGAAATTTGACCAAGATTCTATAAAGTAACTTGTGGTAAACTCACAGGGTGTCCAACCTGCAGCCTGCGGGCCACATGCAGCCCTGGATGGCTATGAATGCAGCCCAACACAAAATTGTAAATCTACTTAAAACATTATGAGATTTTTTGGTGATTATGTGTCACAATGTATTTAATATGTGGCCCAAAGCAACTCTTCCTCTTCCAGTGTGGCCCAGAGATGCCAAAAAGTTGGACACCCCTGCATGTCTATTGATAAGTGAATTACCCTACTCCTTTGTTTCTCTGGGTAGCTGATCATAGATGCCTTATGTTACAGTTACTTTGAGGTGTCTTGCTCTCCCTGTTAGAATTCTTAAGGGCATGATCTATCTCATATTCCTGTTTACATTTCCATGTTGCCAGCCCAGCACAATACCTGCCAGGTGTCAATACAGAGTCAATCACTGTTATGAACTTGATGTCCATGACCTAATAAATTATCTGGCCATGCATTTACAAAGACAGAAGAAGCCACATGTTTAAAATAAAATTGTGCCCTATTTTTCGCTTGCTTAAATTAAGTTGGAAAAGACAAACCAAAGCCAAGTCATGGTTTGAGCTCAAATGTTCACTGTTAAAAGCCCCAAGGCAAATCTTTGGGAGAACCTGAATGAGTTCCATTCTCAACTTTTCTAGAGAGGATGAAGACACTTTCCTAATACTCCCAATAAGTAGTGTAAATCTCTCGACTGCTGACCTAACTTAAAAGGAACAAGCCCCGTGTGCAGAATACACTGTACAGAGAACGGTGGGAATTAGAGCTGGGTCCCCCAGCTGGAGTGCTATCAGTGGTGGTGTGTTAATAACGATAACACCTCTATTAGGGAGGAACCCCGTGTCAATGCTGGAAGGAGGCATGAGTCAGTGGTTTCCCTCTCTGAGGGACCTGCAGGCAGGCTTTCTTTCTTTTCTTTCTTTTCTTTTCTTTCTTTCCCCTTTCTTTCCTTTCTTTCCTCCCTCCCTCCCTCCCTCCCTCCCTTCCTTCCTCCCTTCCTTCCTCTTTCTTTCTTTCATTTTAAACTGCTCTCCCCCTGGTCAGGGTGGGGTTGTGTGATTCCTTTGCCTTGGGGCACATTTCTGTTTTTCTCTCTAAAGCCACCCCCCCAACCCTGCCTATCATTGACTGCTCTTTTATCTTTCAGCTTCTCTTCTCAGGGCCTAAGGTTTGGGAGACATTTTTTCTTTGCTCTTTTCTGCTGCCCCATAACCAGCTCAGCACTGCCCCAAGGTCCAGGCACACTCAGCCACCCTACCCAGATATGTTCTCAAAAGACTTGTACATTGAGCAACTCTGCATCTGGCAAACCCAGTGCTATTCACCCAGCTAACATAGCTATTTCAGAAGGAAAATACAACTTTTCCCTCTCTCACTTTGTCTTGTGGAATAAACAGCCTGAGAAACAAATTACTTAAAATAATAAGTTTGTGTGTCTTATAGACTTATAATTTACTTTTTCATCATCTAGCTGATGGAGTTTGATTTTGCAAGTCCTGCAATTTCATCTTTTGCAATGCAATAAGCTTTGGGTAAGTGGGTAAAATACTTCTTCATTAAAGGCAGTAGGAGGGCAGAGCATGCATTTCTGTAGAATGAGACTTTTTGTTTCAGATACTCTAGGTACTGGGTCTCCTTAGCTTTTTAGTGTTGGCAGAGTAACAAAAAGCAGAATAGTCTTCTCTCTCCTTCTCCTTTCCTGGAGCTGGGGAATATAAGATGGTTTACAAGAGATAAAGATGCTTTTTTAGCATAATTGCCTGTGATCATCTGTTGGGAACTGCCCTGCCTGGTTTCAGAAGCTGTAGTCTCCCGTGACTAAGGCTGAGTAAAGGACCTTGGGATCATAAGCCACTTAGGAGACAAACCTTATCTTCCTTTCTTCCTTGTAGGGGCACCACCTCTGCCCCCTTCCTCTTCACTCTGCTTGGCTCTGGGTGAACAACTGGTTAGCCAATGATGGGTAAGGCTCCTCAAAAGAGGGGTGACCTAAAACAGGCATGGTCATGAAGGACCTTCCCTCAGGGAAGGACTTGGGGGGCTACAGAAAAAGAGGGTGATGGATCCTTGCCCCTCAGCTTTGACATAGCCTGAGTCCTCATTCTGTCTGTGAGAAGTCTCCTAATCTCTTGATTGCCTTACTTCCCCTGTCTGACTTAAGCCTGAAACAATGCTGGAGGTGGGTATGGCCCTGTGCTGGAAAGGGCAGGTTCCCTAGGGCAATCAGGCCTAAGAAAGAATGTATAAAATCCTATGAAACCTGCTTTGCTAGTACCCTCAATTTAAATGATAAGGGTACAAGCAGAAAGTGAGTATGTTCTCCAAAGTTTTATGGTCCTTTAACTATCTGACCCTGACTCAGAATAAGCCCTCAGAGTTCTCTGAATGTTATCCATTGTATAATCACTTCTGCCTGACAATGATTGATGAGTTTTACATAAATACCCTATATTCCTGTTAAAATCAAACCCAATTAAAGCTTGTCAAGGCAAGGGTTGAGGTGCTCTCCTCTTGAGAGAGAAGCTGCACCATCCCTTTTCCTCCACAGGACTTGGTAGTCCATGTGAATTTGTCGTCCCATCCATAATGCCTCGGACCCCAGGAGCTGGGATCTGCACCAATCATTGGTCTGAGCACTGTGAGGGGACCCTGCTCCCCATATTTCACCACCCTCAGTGCCAGGACCCTGCACTGCAGAGAAACTAGCAAGTGAGAGACAGAGCTAAGGCAGCTACAGGAGGCAACGGAAGAGTCAGAATCTGGTTGCAGGCCATAAATGGGACGTAGAGACTAAGGAGCCCGAGTTGATAGGAGGAAGACAGGAGGTTTGAGGAAGAAGAGTCTCCTTTGGGAAAATAGGATGTACCCAATGGGAGCCCCAAGAGTGAAGGAGTGTGACCTTGGGGAACAAGGAAATAGGGGAAGGAAGCCTGCTAGAACAGGGTCAAGAAATTTATATGCTTGTTTCATAACTTAAGTGTGTCCCTTAATTTAAAAAGAATTCTTGCCCTGGCTGGTGTAGCTCAGTGGATTGAACAAGGGCCTGAGAACTGAGGGGTCACTGGTTTGCTTCCTGGTTGGGGCACATGTGTGGGTTGTGGACCATGTTCTCAGGGGGGTCTTGTGGGGGGCAGCCACACATGTTTCTCTCCCTCTCTCCTTCCCTTCCCCCTCTCTAAAAATAAATAAATAAAATCTTTAAAAAAATCTTGAAAAGTTAAGTGTAAATGGGCATGCATCACAGATATAAATAGGTCTGAGGAACAAAGCAGGAGTTTTGGGACGTGATTGTTAGTCATTAGGTGCTGACTCTGGTCAAACTACTCAGGAGATAGAATGGAGATAAGAATGATACAAATTTATGGGTCAATAAAAAGCCCCAAGGAGACAGATACTAGAAGTGACTAACTAACCAAAGCAGAGGGACTATGGAATGAAAGATGTTGAATGGGAGGAACTCTTTATTCTTCTTTCCTTTTTCATGTCTCCAGACCTTGTGTGGCTCATTTTATAGTAACTCAGGAAGCAATCTCAATAGGGACACAGCAGGGGCCTGGGAAGAGGTGAGGCGGCTCCTGCTCCTGGGAGCCCAGAAGACTGATGGCCAGGAGGAAATCTTGAGGAGGTCAGTGGAAAGCCCAGCTAAGAAGATGACTAGCCTTTTCAGCCAATGCGATGAGGAAAAGAACGTTCCAAAGAAGATTCTGGTGACACAAAAAATTTCAGCTTCAATAGGTAATTTCTTAAGGATTGATGTCTTCCAGAAATTCATTTTCTTTAACCTTAAAATGTGGTTAAAAGACATATGGTTAAAGGAAAAAGGATTGGCGGGCCATGTCTGTTCTAAATTTCACACATTCCCTGGAGTGCTGGCGGGAGTGTGGGTGTAGGATGAGAGGTAGAAGCAGTCCCATAGCACGTGACCCCCATCTCGGGGGCTCTTGTGGGGAGGAAAGGGTTTAAAATAAACAGCCAGTGATGCAGGAATGCTAAAAGTAATTCTTGCTTATCCATAGACTGATACCTAATTTATGAATTTTTAAAGTCTCTTAAGGTCATCTATCCTTACCTTTGAGCCAATTACCCTTCTCATTAACTCTGAGAAGAAAAAGGGAGAAAAGCTTAAATTCAACTCAGTCAGTGGAGATACCAAAGACCAGCACTGGGAAAAAATCTGGCAGGATGTGTGTGAAACTCATCTTTTTTTTGGTTTACACTGTGTTTTGTTGTTGTCATCGTCGTTGTTGTTGTTATTTATGAATTCCATA